CACGTCATCCGCCATCTTGGCAGCTTTTCTCGCAATTTCTTCCCGTTCTTTTTCACGGTTTTCAACTTTGTAGATGTCATAGTTTTGGGCTACCAGAAGCATGGCGTCTTGCATTGGCATGTTGCGATGCTCTATGACAAGAATTACACGCAAAAGAAAAGAAAATCAGGTTAATGCCTTTAAATTGTTGTATTTGTTTTGGGTTTTTTTTTAGAATTAACTCAGTTGTGGTGTTGGGACTACCTTGAGGTGTGCCAAACAGGATGTTAACAGTGCAAGAGCGGTGCACCTGGTGCTGCTGGGTAATAATGACAGCAAAAGGAGTACGGGCTCTGCTGACATCCTCAAGAGCCTGAGTAAGAGACACCTCCGTGTTGAGGAAAATCAGATCCACCACCATTCCCAAATCCCGGACTTTCCGCCCGACTGTCTCCGCATACTCCCTACAGTTGTTTTTGAAGCAAAGGTACAGACAGGCACACACACACAAACACACACACAAAGGAGCACTATGAAATTAAATGTGCCATGGCTGAGTATCACCAGCAGTGCTTGTGATTCATGGTTGGTGATCCCTGTAAGGATCAGAAAGTGAACTTACTTTTGCATCTTGTTGACAACAATCACAGAGCAGTCAACAGGACGCTCAGTGTCGTAACGCCGCTGGAGTTCTTCATAGTACTGTCGATAAAGTTCATCACGACGACGCTCCTCTGGTCGAGCTCGATCATCTAATGAATGCCAGGAGTGGAGGTTGTTTTAAACTTATGTCAGTATCATTTTCATTAATTTATAAAACGTTAATTCAGCTGTAAAAACAATCATTGCCCGATTTGTGTTCAAGACTTTGAACTATAGATATTGTAGTTACACTTTTTTAAACAAGTGCAGATGAGTATGAAATACAAACAGGAGTTAGTAGTTTTAAGCTGTAAACATGTTCTTAGTTGTAAAAGAAAACTAATGTTTGAAGAGTACACTAAAAGAAAGAAATGAGGATTTTAAAGGGATTAAAAAAGTAAGTTTTGTACTGAAAGTAGAGAAAACCCATTTCCTTGAGAACAGGGAAATAAGTACAGCAAGGAGGCACTTCTGACCAAATTAGTCGTCCCGCACTATATTGTGATTTATTTATTAGTTTTAATGTATCGCAGGTTTTTAAACCCTTTTTTGTGTGTGTAATGTACACTCATCTCATCGTCAAAGTATTTAAGAGCATAAGAAGTTTTTATGAGAGTGGGAATTTCATGATTCATGCTTATTTGTTCACCACGCCCACCTGCTCTCCTGTGATCAGCATAATTCTTCTCACCTGGCGGATCTAGCATTTAAGCGCTCCCGTTTATCTAGCGCCAGATTATTGAAAACCTTGTGCAAATGTCTAGCCATTTCAACTACATCTCGTGTACAAGATGCTACTTTTTATAACACTTTGTACCCCACAGTTTTTATGCAGGAGAAGCTAATTTGTGTTTTTTTTTTTCATAATTTTAATAATTATATTTTATTTTGAGGGACTTCCTGCAGTCTCTCGGCAGCTTCCTGCTGCTGAATAACACTGTCCTTTGACAGAGCTAGGCGCTCATATAGATGCCCAGCAAATAACCACATATACAAAGTCTCTTGCTCAGGGTTTCAAATTCCCTACCATAACTCCACCCACTCTGTTGTCATGTGACCAGAAGTCTAACCATAATGACCAATGAGGTATACTCTTGAGGACCCATCCCCCAAGTTGGAAGTGCATTAATTTCTTAAGATCATTACTGTAGTTTGCGCCTCATGCGCAGACCTGTTCATCTGCAGCAATAACGAAAAACGCACGGAGAATTTCTTACGATGCAGCTTTCAAGTTAAAAACAATCGATCTGGCTGTCGAAGGAAACACCTGCCGAGACGGAGGCAGTGTGTGATGATGTTTTTCTGAGTCTCGAAGAGGACGTTGATTCACAGGAGGACGAAGAACAGTGATGAGTGATTTCTGATGGACAACCTGTACTTTTTATTTATTTACTATTTTACTGTGTTAAAAGCATTTTTCAGGGAAAAAAAACATTTACCGAATGTTTCTCTCCTCCTGGGTCACGTGGCTCTGCTGAGCAAAAGTCGTCAAAATGTATTTTTAAAGCAGTCAAGTCTGGTACATATTTTAATAAAAGTTTTTAAATTATTTCTGTGTGACATATTTCTGTGTACGGTAAATATGTGTTGAAATACCAGTATTAAGTTCACATCCGAATGCATGACACAAAGCGGAGGAGACAACAGGAGGGATTCTTCCCCCGTCCTCCTCCAGGCTCCGCTGAGCAGAAATCGCATCAAATTTATTTAGAAAGTACATTTAAAAACTAGAGGTGCACCGATTTCCTTAAATTTTAGGAAATCGGCCGATACTTACACGAGAAACCAATTTTACAGATTTTTTTTTAGTTTTAACAACAATTGTCTGAACTTCATTTATATTTCAAAGCTCTAGAATATTGTTCAAGGGTATGCTTTTCAACAAAATAATATTGGAAATAAGAAGGTGCATTGTGACCTTATAACACCTGACAGTGTCACTTATTAAACAAAATCGATATCAGCCAAAATCAGAATAGGCAGGTCAGACATTTTAGAAATCGGTGATGGTGATTGACCAGAAAAATGCAATCAGCGCACCCCTATTAAAAACAGCAGCTGTTACCAAAAGTGTTTAACAAAAAAAAAAAAAAAAAAATTAAAAAAAAATCAATGGTACTAATAAAGCGTCTCTGCTTTTTGCAGATGATGTGGTCCTATTGGCTTCATCAAGTCGTGGTCTACAGCTTTCACAGGAGCGGTTCGCAATGGAGTGTGAGACAGCCGGGATGAGGATCAGTTCTTCCAAATCCAAGGCCATAGGCTTCAGCCAGAACAGGGTAGAGTGCTTCTCTGGGTTGAGGAGGAGGTCCTGCCCCAAGTGGAAGAGTTCAAGTATGTCAGGGTCTTGTTTACAAATACGGGAAAAATGGAGCGAGAGATCAATTGGCGGATAGGTGCTGCATTTGCAGTGAAGCGGGCGCTGTACCGGTCTGTTGTGGTGAAGAAAGAGCTGAGTCAAAAGGCGACGCTCTCAATTTACCGGTCGATCTATATTCCTACCTTCATCTATGGTTATGAGCTTTGGGTTGTGACCAAAAGAACGAGATCACGGATACAAGCGGCTGAAATGAGTTTTCTCCGCAGGGTGCCTGGGCTCTCCCTTACAGATCGGGTGAGAAGCGCGGTCATCCGGGAGGGACTCAAGAGTAGAGCCGCTGCTTCTCCACGTCGAGAGGAGCCAGTTAAGGTGATTCGGGCATCTGGTTAGGATGCCTCCTGGACGTCTCCCTGGTGAGGTGTTCCGGACACGTCCCACCTGGAAGAGACCCAGAGGAAGACCCAGGACACGCTGGAGAGACTATGTTACTTGGCTGGCCTGGGAACGCCTTGGGATTCCACTGGAGGAGCTGGCCCAAGTGGCTGGGGAGAGGGAAGTCTGGGCCTCCCTACTTAGGCTGCTACCCCTGCGACCCGACCCCAGATAAGTGGAAGAAAATGGATGGATGGATGGTACTAATTTAACGAATATCTGTCGTATTTTACAGGTACTGTGACTCCCGGTCACATGACCTCACTAAGAATTGTGGGTAAAATTGACCAGTATATAATTTTTAAATAATATCGGTTACGTAAGTGTTTGGCATTGTTCTGTCCAGTGCTTATGCTTAGATAGTTCTTGTGTTCATTTTGTAGGTTGAATGGTTTTAACCATGAGTCAGACAGCAAAGCACCATGAAGACTTACGACAATCACCAAGCCCCAGTTTATGAAACACCTTCCGGTGGCTGATTCTTGTACTACAACAAGAGCTGCACATAAAGCCAGAAGCTGGGCACAGATTCTGATAATGTAATGTGGATACCCACAACTTAATAACCGGAGTGTCTTATTTATGTACAAAATGATGATTTATCTTAAATCTAGTATGTGCAGTTTAGAGTCAGGTGTGTTCTGTAGCCCTGCAATTACGGCAGTTTGAAGCCTGTCTCCCTGTGCATGACCCTTGCCTGTTCTTTGACTAATGCAATCAGTACTGGACGGATAGAAACTAAGCAACAAGGGTTAATTTGACTGAAATTACTTTATTTAGTAAAGTATTCAGTCTCAAAGTACAAAAAAATAATAAAAATGATCCTTCTCTTATTTAGATTGAAAAAGTCTGCACAAAATATAGATCAACAAAATCCACTGCAAAAACTAAAGTGCAGGTGCAGTTTCCCAAAATAACTAAATAAAATGAAGCTTAAGATCTGTTGAGCATAAATGTAACATACAAGAAAAAATATGTTGCCTTTAAATGAGGTGTAACTTCCAAAACTTGTGACAAGGTGTCTTCAGCCTGAGGCTTGTGGTGTTTCAGCCTCCTCGCAAGAATGATTCCATTTCTCCGACTGCTTTGTCTTTGATCACCTGCCTCTTTTCTTGGTCCATGGACTGTGGAACTCAAAACACACAGCCGAGCTGTGCGTGTTTGTACCGGCAGTTTAGAGCGGGGTTGGGGAAGAGAAAAAAAGTCAAGCTGCGCCGGTACCGGCTGTTTGGAGCAGAGTGGGGCGGGAGGGAGAGACAGCTGAGCAGTGCACCCACTGTCTGTACAAGCAGTTTAGAGCTGGGTGGAGAGACACAGCTGAGCCGCGTGTTGTTTGTCTTTAGCTCTTTAGCTAGCTAGTATTGCATGTAGCTAATTAGCGTTATGCCAGTACCGACAAGGGGGTGGGGGGATGCGCAGTTCGGTTCGGTAATCCGGCGCGCTCGGTTCTGTTAAAGGGGCTGGGCGACCCTCTTGTATAATGGTAGGGGAAACACTGACATACTTACGTCATGAAATTAGCATATCATGATATAATTTATTTTCCTGGGCAAGCTTTTTTTTACCGGTATTATCGTGAACGATAGGATATGGCCCAGTCCTACTGGAAAGTAACCCCCGCAATATGTGATGGATCACTGTACTCTAAACTATTAAAGTGTAGTTTGTGTGCTCTGCATACTACCTGGCTCACGACGTCCATTCCAGGGATCTAAATATGGATCCCTGTAGGGTTCATCCTTCCTCCTGTAATAGTCCTCGGCACCATTGCCACCACGGTAGTACCTGTCGTAGTCATCTCTGCCGTAAGGAAACACGTTTATACAATAACGTTGCCAAGGGATTAACAAATTGATGCAAATGTTAATTACCTGAGTGCAGGATCTCGAGGGGCACCCCTTAGATCCTTATCTCTGCTCCCCGACCGATAACGATAAGCGGGATCTCGAGAGTGGCTTCCTTGTCTGGGCTCTCTACCATCACGGCTGTCCCGGAGCTCACGTCCGTCACGCGGATAAACAGGTGAGCGTGACCGAGGACGGGGCTCTTTGCTGTACGGAGCCCTGAGAAAACAATCATCCATCAGTGCAAGAACAGTTCAAAGATACAGTTCCTTTAAAAATAGTGCAGAAAGTAAAAGAAACATTTTAACAGTGAGGACAGACTAAAATCTGATTTAAAAAAAAATATATATATAAATCAAATTAACTTGGAACATATTTTCTCAAATGTAAGTTAAGCAAACACAAGTCATTTTGGTGTAAAAAACTTTCAATTAAATCCAGGAAGCATTTTGGCAACTCAAGAGTATGCAAGTAGCATAGCTGCTTAAGCAGCTTTTTCGAAAGGAAGGTGGTTTAATTTTTTAATCTAACCCTACATGGTTAGTCTTATTTTCTTTAATAATACTAATTTGAAAATAATTTGGTAATTTCTCCACTTGTGTAACACATTTTGTATTACCGACTTCTTAAATGTGTCAGTACTATTTTTCCTTTTTATCACACACACAAAAAAAATTCAACACTAACCATTTCAGAAACTTTATTTTTAGTAAAAGTGCCTGCATACTCTATATGAAGTGCCAAATTTGGCTCTCATTGACGTAGTTGCGTGATAAATCACATTCTTTTGTTCTCAGTGTAGCTTCGACAAACTCCTTCTCAACACAAGAACCAGGCTCAACTTTTTCCTCACAGGCATACGCACCAAGCATTGTGTGATTGGTCAGAAGTTTGTGGCTGCGTTCGTCAATGCAGAAAAGCGCTCAGACATTCAGCTGTATGACTCTTTAAACACACTTAGTCAAATGGTCAAAAACTCCTGGATCGAGATCGTACAGACATTGGTATGGAGGGGTCTGTCTGCTGAAAAGTGTGGCGCTTTCTTCATGATAGATTTGTGGACAAACGGAAAATGCAAAGACAGGGTGGAAACTCTGGCGGAAAGAAACCCACGTGGTGAAGTACACTGCAGCACGAGAGGTTTCGCAGGAGCTCCATGTCTGTATGTGTACGCCTGTGTCACGTGAACACTGAAAGGTGTACGCAAAAACGAAGGTCCCGCAATCACGTGACCGCGCGTCAACTGTTCAGCTTCGGGTTGAGTATATAGGGCCCTTAACTTTATTTCCAAAAATCGTTTTGTCACCTTGAGTTTTAGAGAACTTCAAATAATATGGCACATCATGACAGCCAATGTTCAACAAGCAAACAAATTATAAAACAAACAAAAAACATTTTTACTTTACCCAAACTTTTCAGGAATATTTTTTTATTAATACACTGTACACATGCATGCATTTAGTTTTGGTTTGTAAGATGTGTACCGATTTAAGCTCCGCCATGACCATGGGGTCAACCTTTCATTTGCCGTAAAATAAGTTCCCACGATGGCATCATATTCACGCAAACACGCAAGTGGATCAATGTGCGTTGTTCCACCAATAGAAAAATGTTTTTCAGTTGTTCAAAAAGTTCTTCAAAAATAATGACAAATGTACAAATGGTACAAAGAAAGAAACCCAGCAACTACTAAGCTTTTAAAAAGTAGTTTTAAAAAAATTAAAAACACTGGATTTGTCCATTTACATTTTCATGTAGTCTTTCTATTTTGGAAGCCATTTATTGGCTTTAAAACAGGTGTTTTTCGCGTTTAAGCGGTTACAGTAAATAGAAGCAACTTGCACACAAAACCATGAGGTAAAACATACAATTTGTGTATTCCAAAGAAAGGGAGGTTAAAAACATTTTACCATAATTTTTTGGTTGTTGCCATTTTAGCCAGAAGAAGTGTTAAACGGACATCACAAAATATTTAGCAATACAACAAAACATAAGGTCATGAATATGAGACAAAGACACGTAATTACACCAATTTGTCTCTCTTCTTTATTTCAACACATCAGGAAATGGCAACTGTGTGAAATGTTGACCGTTATATCAAACATTACAAACTCATTCAAAAGCGGGGAAGCTTCCAAAATGCGTTTAACCCTTAAAAAAAAAAAAAAAGTGTAGATGATGAAAAATTAAATACGCTTTTTTTACCGACACCTCAAAGGCGATGGTAGTTCTTCACACCCATTTTGCGTGACTTTACCTTCGTGGAGGACTCTGCTGGGATTGAGGTTTAAGTTGACGTCGTTCCACTGCCATATTTACATCTGAAAATAAATCAATCCAAACGTTGAACAAAACAGTGACATGTAGATCAGCTCATGACGATCACGCAAAGGAGGCCGCATCCAAATAAAATCGAGTGTCGTGATCAAGTTCAGAAATGGTAAAATTTGCCAAAGATCAAAGCGGTGAAGAGTTGCCAAATCCATTGAGGGAACAAGCGAGACACAAAGAAATTCTTCATTCTGTCAAAATTGCTCCAAACTGACTGACGGCTTAAACGTGAGTTAAAATTGGGTTAAAATTCAGGAAAGAAAAAAGAAAACGCCAGTGATGCAAATGAATCCATAAAATATGTTAAAACCTGTTAAATGTATTAATTTACTTATTTGGATTCAGTTGCAGTTTAAGTTCTACAACCCACACAGTATTTTAAGAATCTTTGGTTCAGTTGAAAAAAAATTGAATGCATGGTCTCACTAAAATGGTGTTCAAAAGAACAGAATATTGTACATATGTGACTATACCTAATAAGAACAAATTGCAACACATTTAAAAACACCCTTGATGTGGCCTTTGATTGTCCCTAGCCTTTAAAATTGCCATACATGAAACTACATTCTTTATGCACTGTTCAGCAGTTCTGCCCACAAATCTCAGATGATGCTTGTCTGATTACGGATGCATCAAGAATTGTTTTTTTTTTGTTTGTTTGTTTTTTTTGTTTGTTTGGTTTTTTTTTTTTGGGGGGAGGGGGGTAAATCTCATAAGTCTCTGAATCAGAATCTATTAAAATCATGAGGTGCCTTAAGTTTTACACCCCTTTAATACTGATATCATCCATATTGTTTTAGACTAAATGTCCTCCACATAATATACTTTGCTGCACAAAAAGAAGTAGTGCATACTTAGAATAACTTGCTACAAAAAAAATCTAACCTGGCATCAAAGGAAAAAGCACTTCCTTGGTGACAGTAGTCAGTACCAAAATGGAAAAGGGAATATAAGGAGTTTAATCAAAAAAGGAGAACGATGATTGTCATCGTCACATTTGGTCTTAAAGAAAAATACCTGTGAAGATGTTGCATCTGGTCTTAATAGTATACTAAGGAATTCAAAAATGTGTATCCCTAAAGGCCCCATTTGCACGAAGCTAAGAAACTGTAGAATTTCTGCTGAATTTAGGCCAATACTATACACAATAATGACAGTGGTCGTTTGTTCTGACAATGAAGCGTTTTGAATCCAATTCTAAAAGTGGAGGTTTTTGGAACATTCATGGAGGTGTTAAATTGCAGATACGCACTACAAACGATTGCAGTCGCTTTTTCTGCACTTGCTAGTAGATGTAGGCTTGTCACAATAAACAATAAATCAATTAATTGCATGATGAATGAAAATTATCTACCTCATTTTCATTTATCGGCTTTATTGTTTCTTTGTGTCTCTTTTTCTACTGGACACTGGATGACAAAAGGCTCAACTCTGGTGCTCTTCACCAACTCCTCCCTTTCTCTTTAAAATCTGTTTTAACTGTCTAAAATCGCGTTATTGGATCGTTAAAAGCAGCTAAGCTGAGAAGCTAAGCAACGAGCTAAGCTAACAGGCCGAAGCTCCAAAATTCATGGTTGAAACTCGTGCTTTTGTGTAAAACACTGTTTTTCTCTGCAAAATGAAGCTGAGAACTTTTTTACTGATTTTTTTAATTAAAATTTTTGTGTGAAAAATGCTATGCTAAAGAGCTCAAACCACACCTAACATGCGCCATTTTGAGAACTGAAAAACAGAAACAAGAGACAGTCCATGTCACGTCAAGGACATACTGCTTGCTCCCTCTCTATCCATCCTTCGGTTCAAACACTTATACTGCCATCTAATGGTCAAAAAAGGTACTACATACAAAAATTAACGCAATATGGTTTTTTTTTACAATAATTAGTAACTACTGTCAAATTTCAAACAATATTATCGTTTATCGCAATAATTTCTGAGACAATCGCCCAGTAAAATTTGTTATTGTGACAGGCCTAAGTAGATGAACAACAGTATTAATGGCAGATAGTATGCCGTTAGTGCTGCTCACCCTTTTCACCATGTATGAGCAAACCAATCTCATTCTCTGTCCTGACATTTGTGTAAACACAGTTTGACAGACTGAAGTGTCTACGTACATGCAAGTGTTGTTGAAATACCAAAATACCAGTGACAACTAGTGAACTGGCATGGAAACTACTAGAGGATTCAACGAGCACAGAACGACCAGTGCAAGCGTGTTTTATCCCCCACAAGCGAATCAAAACAACACTAATGTTTCCAGAGATTGATCAGGTGTAAACAGGGCCTAAAACTGCTTTATTGTACTTGCATTTTTTATAGCATTGATGACAGATGAGATCAATCATAGCCATCAAAAGTTTAACACACATATATATATATACACACATACATACATACATACATACATACATACAGTAGTCCCTCGCTACTTTGTGGTTTGTTTTCCATGGACTCGCTCTATCGCAGTTTTTAAAAGCAAGGTTGGACATGACACAAAACTGGCTAACTGATGGATGAGCCGCACTATCGGCATGGAATTTTTATTTAAAATAAATAATTTTAAATTATTTAGCCCCTGCTGCACCTGTGTGCAGCCCACAGCTGCAGAAGAAACTTTCACCTAAGCATCCTCCTGCAGTGTGTCATATCTCGGCTCTGCAGCGAAGTGGGCGTGGCCGAGAGCAGCCAAGGCAGAGAGCTGAATAACATGCTGTGCTCTTTTAGAGCATTTAGAGTTTAGAAACATTGTTTAGAATATTGCAAGTGTGGGAAGGGTTTAAAACGCCTTTATATGTATATACATAAATACTAAAATAAATTGTGTATTTTTCAGCCTATAAGTCGCAGTGTTTTTGCACCATTTGCATGCCCTGTGACTTATACCCCAAAGCAACGCATTTATGAATTTTTCCCCATATTTATAAACCAGTTTTTGGCTGAGATATGACCGTTTTCATTCATTCTGACTAAAAGTATTGAACACTACCATTTTCAGCCGCTAGATGGCACTCGAGTAGTATGGCATGCCGTTACATCATGTAATAGGTAAAAATGGCTATTAATTGCCACAGCCTGCCACCTTCGTCCAGCTCGCCTGGCGCAACCGTCAAATCAGCTTCATTTTGCTGCACCGTCCCGGCAAAACAGTGCATTTATTAAGTAAAAGTTCAACTGAGCCACACCTTTGCTAAAATGTTGAGCAAACAAATAATTGTTTTAGATGCTTATCTTGTTAAATTTTGAAGAAATGTGCAGCGTTCCTCCACCCTGATTTCCTACCTCAGAGCGCACTCCTGGAGCACCGAGGCAGCAAATACTTTTGAAAATGCAGCTGATTTGACCGTTAAAAGAGATGGACGGAGACACGTCCTGAACTGCACAGTGCGCTTTTATACGGACAGTTTTAGAGAGTGGGGAGAGACAGATACAGCCACGTGCTGTTTGCAGACAGTTTTAGAGCAGGGTGGGGAGAGGAGAGAGAGAGACACATCTCAGCTACACACTGTCTGTACCAACAGTTTTGTTGTTGTTGTTGTTGGGGTGCAGAGACACATCTGCAGTGTTTCCCCTAGACAACTTGCCATGGCGGGGTGCTCATCTCATCCACGACTTTTGTTGGGGGGCAGAGACATGTCTGAGCGCAGCTTGTACCAACAGTTTTTGCCCCCCCAGGGGGGGGGGGGGGCGCAGCATGAGTGAAGAGGCGCTTTTAGCTTTTTAGCTAGTGTTGTGCACTGTTTATACAGACGTTTTTTGAGTGTGTGTGTGTGTGTGTGTGTGGGGGGGGGGGGGTTCAGCTTGAGAGAAGAGGCAACATGAGCGCTGCCTTTAGCTTTTTAGCTAGAGAGCCTGTATTTCGTGCTGCTAGCTTAGTGCTATGTCAGTGCCAGATGGGATAGGGAAGTTCGGTTTGGTAGGCGGGGTGCTCAGTTCTGTTGACGGGGTGGGGCACTCTTACTTGTATAATAGTAAGGGAAACACTATATCTGAGATGTGCGCTGATTGTACAAACAGTTATTGAGTGTGTGTGTGTGTGGGTCCGATCTAGGGAACAGGTGGGGGGGGGGGGGGGGGGAGGCTGTCTTTAGCTTTTTAACTAGCGTACCTGTATTACCAGCTGTTAGTTTAGAGTTACGTCAGTGCCGACAGGTGGTTTGGGTGGGGGGTTAAGTAGACGGGGCGCTCTGGTTTTGTTGACGGGTGGGGTGCCCCACTTTGTATAATTGTAGGGGAAACACTGCGGTACCACTTACTACTTGTACTACTATTCCTACTTCGTGATTTTTCACTTATCACAGGGCTGCAAGGTACGGATTCCCTGTGATAAACGAGGGACCACTGTATGTATGTATATATATATATATATATATATATATATATATATATTATTTTTCATTAGGTTTGTCCTACAGCCCATCGGACAAAATAATAATAATAAAAAAAAAAGTCCTCAATAACCATACAATCACACTTTATGCATTTAAGGCTTACCTATTTTGTAACCTCTATATATTCGCCCTTTTTGAGCCGCCCTTGCAGCTTCAGCCTCTTCGGCGCGCTCAAATTGAACAAATCCATACCCTCGAAGCAAGGACACGCCTGGAAGAGGAATATTTTAAAGGGCAAAACCTTTCAATACATTTAAATGTCTACCCACTTAAAGTTTTTTTAGAAACATTCTCGCGTATCATTTCACAAAATGCAAAAACGTCTAGTTTATTGTTGAACATAAAATTTTGATATACTTAGCGACAACCACCTTGAGAAAAACCTTTGGCGACTCGTCACTTATGTTTACTAACCGAGTATTTTCCCGTATGGGGTGAACATATCTTGCAAATCCTTGGTTGTCATGTCGGATGACGGCAAATTTCCAACAAAAATTCTTCTCTCCAAATCTTTTGGATCATTACTGCTGCAGGTGCGTGAGTATCGCCCAGGAGAGAGGCTGCGACTTCTTCTGCGAGACATGACTAGATCCCAAGGTTTATCAGTTTCCTTCTTCGTGCACCACAAATGCTTGAAAGGGTTTTATTTGCGTGCGAACGAGCGTTGTAAGTGTCTTCAATCCTGAAACATGTCAGCGAGTAAAAGAAAAGATCAAACTCCTTCAAAATTCAAAAGTTTAGAGGATGAGAAGTTGCAGATCAAATTCACATAAATGGTCAAACAAAGTGAATTCAAATGCTGATGTAAAGGAAGCAAATGTTTACACTTGAAAGGAAAAAAAAGCTTTGTAGCTCACTGCTTAGTAAATAACAGTTTTTAACCAGTTCTCAAATGGACTTTTCGTTTAAGCTGAAAAAAAGAATGCATACGGTTATAGCAAATGATCCATTTCCCCATTGATTGTTAAACTTCAGCATGTAATGGACTCAAAAGTTTCTCCTCATTTACAAGCAAAAACAAATGCAGGGTAATATGTTCAAAGCAGATCTTAAAAGTTTATTCAAATTAAATAAATAGTAAACTTTAGTGTTCACACACACACTGCAGGTCTTAATGCTCAAATCCGATTTTTTGCTCAGAATTTATTATTTTGTGTGACTGTTCACAATGCAGTTTAAATGCAACCTTCAACAGACGACAGTGAGAACAGTCTACGTCCTTTATTCAACCCGTATGCACAGAAGAAAATGTGACGTCAAATGCAGCACGCTGCGTTTATATTAGTTGTTATGGAAGCACCACATTAGCGTGTATCAATTCAGAAGTTGTTGTGCAATTAGAATTAAGTTACTGTATTATCTCCGTTTATATTTGATCTTATGTCGGAACAGGACTGACACAATGAAAGTAAAACAAATTCCAGTATTGATCCAACCCCAATGTTGGTATCACATGTTGCTGTCATCCAGGACATGGCAAAAAAATAAATAAAAAAAAAAAACTTAAAAATAAAGCAACTGAACTGTGTTTGTTGCTAAAGATGTGTGGAGTTCTAAATTTTAATATGCATGACATTGGTATCGATATTATGAATATTTAGATGGATTTGCATAGTCCTAGTTCAATGATGTAAAAGACAGATGAAAAGCGATATGACCATGCAGACTGCAGTCACTTTGAAAAGCACCCCAAAAAAAAAAAAAAAAAAAACCTGGGTCTTATTTTTTATTATATATATAATTTTTTTATAATGTTTTTTTAACGAATTTTTAACGCACAGACCATTATATAAAAAAAATCTGCTATGAGTCACATATGGGCAAAATAGCCGATCAAATAAGGGCTACTCTTGCGTGCAGTGTGAATGTAGCCACTGAAGTAATTTAAAAAGGATGCATCTGATGAAAATTTTAAAAAATGACGGGGTCTGAAATACAGACATGTTAAAGTTATGGCAGGATGTCAAACAGCCATTTGCCTATTCGAGTTTAAAATATAACATACATTGGGTATTGAGCAAACTTCTGTTTTACTTTCAAATTCATGGTAATTTTCCTTGTGTTAACATGAAAAGTGAATCAACAGACAACGCTAAAGAAGCAGGATGAACTCAAAATAAAATCTAAATGAACTCACAGAACATTAACCAGTGTTCTCAGTGTTTTAACAGATTTTTATCTAATGATAAACTAGCATTTAATATATTTTTATACTAGTTGGATTTTAAAGTTTTACTCTCCTCTTTTATGTCCTACTTTGCTTTGAATATGATTGTCGAGCCTTGAGCACTATTTTCTGTAAATGGTTTATTTGTGTTCTTACTTTTAACATTGTGTGTACGCATGGATGTATGCTTATGCTCTGTACCACTGCAAACCAAATCTACCCTTCAGAGATTATTTTTCTTGCTATTTAAATGACAAGAAAAATAATGTATGTCATTCTGTTTTTGTCAAAATACTAATTCAAAGTTTAACACCCCCCCATTTTTTTAAACTAAATAAAACTGCAAGGCTGAACCGGGTAGTTGTAAAAAAGAAAAAAAAATTGGAGCAAATTATACAAATGGAAAGTCTGTTTTGCAAACTCGGACATTACTTTCCATACACAAAATCAAAATTGGCTTTATGCAATAAGCCAATATAATTAGTGTTGAGTACTCAACAAGTTTCGTCACTTGAGTAATTTAACCAGTAAAAATATTGACTCCTAGGATCTGTTCCATTTCATTGAGCATACAGAAAACTCGACAGCACGTTCTAAAAACAAAAAAAACGTCTTCTTCAAAACAGCCCTTTTGTTTTGAAATGACAGAGCCATCTTCAAGTAAACTGGATTTATTTAAATGAATTGTGTATGGTCAACTAAAAATGTCAAAATCCAAACACGAAAATTCATTTGTGTGTGTTTGTTAAATATATTTGTTTCTCATTGTCCACAAGGAAAATACTAATTTTCCATTGGTAGTGACAATGCAAATAAAATTCATAAAAAATAAAAATCAGTTGATGTTTTCAGACAACACTCTTACAGCACAAACTAAGAAACCACACCACAAACTGGAAGGAAATAAATACTTTGTTATTTTAAGGACAGCAGACCCTTTTCTTACCTTACCTGGAAGGTGGGTGTTCTGGATTCAGTCCCACCTTAGTTTTGATGGCCCAAATGCCTGAAACCAGTGAGGGAAAGAGCCAGATATAAAATTAGAAGATATTAACCACTTTAAATCCTCTGCACTGTCTTAACAGTTTTACTATTACAGTAAAATAACGCCAGGATATGTAAATATTGTGTGTGCATTGATTTAAGACAGATGGTGCACAAGATTACAGCATTACTCCTCAAATCTAATTCACACAAAACCCACAGTAATTTAAATGGATTTCACAAAAATACAAGAAATGATCTAAGTCTGAAAGAGTTTTAAAAATGGTTAGATGTTCAGAAAATCCGACAAAGACCTCTAAAAATCACAAACGGAATGGGTCTGGCTTACAAACGGCAAATTATAAAATAGGGCCGAAATCTTTCTTTGACGTGAAAAATTTAGACCCATACGAATAAATAAAAATAAAGTTAGCTTGTGATTTTGTTGATGCTAATAGCTTCTGGACATATTTATGTACAGTTCTGAATTTGAAATGTTTCAATTTTCATGTATTTTATCAAATGTGCAAAAATTTTAAAAATGCTTAAGCTAACTAGCTAGCCTAATGCGGTTTTGTGGCCTTCATTCCGACCAGGGCCTGTTCTTCGTATAGTTAGTGGCATGTATTCTTGAAAGCACAATTAAAAACATAAAATGTATTTTTAACTCCAAATCTTCACATTTGAAACACATGACTGCATCTGATGCATATCACTGTGCCAGAATATGCTTCTTCTATGACAATGCGGTGCTAGCCACGCAGCTAAGTTAGCGAAGGCTAAACTAACAGGTTAAAGCCCAAAGGCTTGTTTCACATTTACTAGACCAGCTACGTTTATGGACATAACCGGTGAAAGTATATTTTATAGATAACAGCTGTCTACGTACCTTCGACGTGTACTTTATTTGTATTTAAGTCGCTTAAGGTCACGCATGAAAAGCCGAAGCTTCCCTCGAAAAACACGATGATTTTTTTTGCGCGTTACGCATGCGCGACAGTGATGAATCTTTCTGCGTCGAGGACTCGCCTGCGCTGCGCTGAATCGTACGTCGACGTTGTCGCCATATTGAATGTGGCAAAAGTGAAGACAAATATAGAAGATGCGTCGTTGATTCAGAGTGGCAACACGGAAAAAGCTGGGCAGGCTATTATTTTCCAAGGTTTATAACTCACACACACACACACACACACACACACACACATACACACACATACATATATATATAT